TAGTAGCGATGCACTTGTTACTAGTAGCTTCTTGTTCCTAGTAGTACTGGCATGAACACTCCCTGCTGTTGCGTTCTGGCCTCCGCTTGCAGTTGTTCCGGCAGCCTCAACAGATGCTTCTCGGAGGCACAGGGTATGCTGAAGACTTGGTTAGGACTAATGACAGGTCTAAAGACCCAAAGAAATATGAACAGCACAACACATGAAACAATCTTTTCTATTTTTAAAGTAGTAGGTAGCCATCTCTCTCTCTCTCTCTTGTGTTGCTTTGAAACCACAAACCTCCAAGAAGGGCTGAACGTCCGTTGGATGCCTCCTGCTTGGTGGGTTTTGCAAGGCTTGAGTGCCGCCGAGGATCCCTTACTTCCACTTTGAACCAAGAGGGCCAAACGCCAAAGGTCTTGGCTGCAACTAGCTACCCTTAGCTAGGACCCTAGGCGCTACCTGGCTTTCCCTGCTTGGAGACCATGGGATTGCTGGGTGTCCGAGCCAAAAGTTCGCTTTGTAGCTGCACCTCAAGCTGCTCACTGGCCTGACAGCTCTTAAACATACCAATTCGCTTTTCATGCGGAATCAAACATCACAGCGGACATTTTTAAGAATGGTAGAAAGCTGTTTAAGGCTTTCCAGGCTAAGACGCTGCTGCCCTTGTTTTCTCCACGCACGGACGGCATCAATTTTAAGCCACCTTCTCATCTATCCTTCTTTTGCTGCGTGCAGTTTTCAAAAGTCGTCTTCGTCATCAAAGTCTTCCTCCTCCTCTTCCTCCTCTTCCCGTTCCGAACCGGACGACAGCTCCTGCATCAGCTCATCTGCACTGGTGGGCCCTGATGGAGGCATTAGCAGCTTCTCCAACTCATCACTGTCATATGCAACCGTGAAACAGTCCAATCCAAAACAAGCGTCGAAATCTCGGGCATCCCTGAGGGCCTTCCACATATGCCCCAAGGCTGTGAGGCCAGCAGCATCCACCGCCGAGACGTCAGCGCGTGCTTCAATGAGCCTCGCACAGACCTCCGTAGGCACTGAGAGGACGCTCTTGGAAAGAGCACCAACCGCCGCCTTGGCAGCCAACGTGAGCGGCGATAGGCCTGACTCATCCGGTTGGTTCACCGCCTTCTCGGGAGATGTTAAGCGCAAGAGGATCTCCAGCTCCTCCATGTCACGGTTGTACGCGCAACAGTGGATGGCACGGGAAGCTTCAATGGAGGCACCCTGCTTGATTAGATTAGATATCTGAGCTTCAGTTCCTTTGTTCTTCACCAGCTCCAGCAAGTCCTTATTGATGCCTGATGGTGGGCTGCCAGTCTTCGGTTTGAGGACAGCCGTGGACTCGGCTTCTTTGGCCGACTTCATGGGAATTTCAAGGAAGCTGGGCACGGCAAACAGGATGATGCCAACACCCTCCAAAGCAAGCTCTTTGGCTTGAACGAAGCCAGCCTGAAGGAACCATGGCAGCTCCCTCTCACTGGGTATGACCACGGCTACACTCCATCTTTCTCTCAAGATCGTGTCTTGCAAGAGCTTTCGGATCACCACCGCACCTGCATCTTTCTGCTCGAAGATGGCCGAATTCTCCTCACCCACCTGCTCGATGTACAAGAAGCCACCGGACATCACCTCCCCACAAGCCTTGACGGCACTCAAACGAATCCGCCCCCGAGAGTCGCAAAAGCTGGTCCCAACCAACTCCAAGTCTGCGGATTCCGCGTCGCAGGCCTCGTGGAAGTTGTAGCGGGTGCCGTTTTTGGGCCTTTGAAGCAGCACCATCTTGGCTTGAGTTCGCTCCCCTGCCAGGCAGACCCTCGCTCTCATCACATGCACGCCATCAAATTCCGCACAACCCTTGTGCCCCAGTTCAGTGTAGTAATGCCGTAGAAAATCAGCCGAGTCAGCCGAGTCTTCCCCATCCTCATCCTGATCCTCCCGAATCATTTCTCGTCCTCTCACCACTTGCACCGCCGCCAGCTGTGGGGTTCGGCGCACCAGGCCCCGAAAAGCCACCGACACCGCGGAGACAGCAGCACCATCCCTCTGGAGCAGATTCGGCAAGACATGAAGCACGATCTCATCGTGCTTGATGAATTCCATGAGGACGTAAGTAGTATCACCCAAAATCACCCCCAAATCACCCCAGACTGCATCTAACATATCTCTAACTACTTAGTCTCTTTTTAGTCTCTTTGTGTCCAAGATCTCAAGAGGTTGAAAAAGACAAGTAGTATCGAGTAGTTACAGCTTTCCTTCAATAAGGGAATGTAGCTTGCACTTGTTCCCTCAAAAACGAGTCCTAGAAATCATTGGCTACTTGTGTAAGCTTTCTTCATCTGAGCAAACAGATAATAAATCAAGCCGCTTTCACCCATTGTATCATGCAAGGATGGTCAATCAAAAACATAATAAGCCACCAAGCCACTGCTGGTCTTGTTTGTCATGCAGCAGACTTGAGATGAGTTCAACACCCAAAGAAAAGCCTTGAAGTCTGCACGTTGCAGGCTATACCCGCCTCTAAATCAGCAACTAGCTGTCGGCAATCCTCCTCCTTCATAGCTTTGACTTGGCTGTCTCCATATTGGATTTTTAGTCACAAACACCAGGACCACCGCTAGTCAAAGATGTGAGCCGATGCGAGATATTACGCAGTGAAACAAAGGTCTAAAGGTCGAACACAAAGAGGACAAAATACAAAGTTGGCGATGGGATGGATACCATGTAGAAACAAGTGCCACGCTAGTAGTAACAGGTGCCTTACTAGTAGTAACAAGGACGCTACTAGGAACAAGAAGCTAGTAGAAACAAGTATGCAATGGCGAAGGGTCTTCAAACACGTGCTCACGAGTCCTGTCTCTCCAACTCTGCTTGTAGCGCCACACTTCGGACCTTGGTGACGGCACACTCTGAACAACGGAAAAAACAACACCAAAAAATGATAAGAAACAAGGTAAGGGCTTATGCTCCCCCCTTGAAGGTCCCTTACCTTCTTTTCTTCTTTGTACCATTTTGATATCTCAATTCTGAATTGGAGACTTGGAAGCTGCTGCTTGAATGAACCTTTTGTGCACTTTCTATTTTTTTCGTGTGTGGCTGGCCCCAACAAAGACACCTGACAGGACACCCTGCTCTGTATCACAGTTGCCATTCCTCACACTTGCCTTGCCTTACACGAAAACTTCTTGAATCAAAAACAGCCTTTGAGCCTGCCCTGCGGCCCTGCGACGAAGCGCTTTAGAGTAGGGCGATCAGGCGGCCACTTGGCCCTTACTTTCTTACTTTCCAAATGCGGAATCGCCACGGAGATGGTGGACTTCTCCTGACCCAGCTCGAAGAGTTGGATCTCGGTGCCCAAGGTTCGGAGAAACAACGGATCTGCTTTGCCCTATCTGCTTTTGTCAAAGAAGTGTTCTAGCAGTTTGGCAAAAGTGTTCTAGCAAGTAGCAAAGGGTAGCCCAGCCTTCAACTTACTCAAGCCTAGTAGTACTTTCTTTTTCGACAAGAAAAAGGTTCAAACGAGAGACACACGGGGGCAGCAAAAGAAAGAAAGTTGTTGGAACATCGTGAATCCATCACAATACCGATTCGTATTGCATACTTCGCCGGGAAGCTTGAAGGATCGGGGCACTTCTAAGGCTCCAACGCTCAGTTCGCGGATCTGATGATGAAGTTGATCCAACTGGGGAAGAGCGGTCGGCGGCTTCAAGGTGGGGTAGCAAAAGGTGTAAGGCATTACCCAACGACTTCTAGTGATGTGGCCTATTGATTAGAGTGATTCCCCTTTTTGTAGCGAGCAATAGAGGGGGAGCGAATAGAAAGTCCAAAACAAACAGTAATTCAAGGGAGTCGGGTCTGTTTTTTTTTTTTTTTTTCCGAAAGGAACAACAGGCAAAGACAATGAGTTCAGGCAAGAACAAAAGAAGGCTAAGCACGGATCTCAAAGGGAGCCAATTGCTTAGCAATGGAAATTGAAGATATACTCTACACATATTTTTGTGGACAGCACTTTATATGTTTCCATCTCATCACCCTACTCAACACCCAACACTTTCAACCGTGTAAGTGAGAAGTTCGAAACGCTGCAGCATTTTGATAGGAGTGCCATTCCTCAGGATCGTACTGCCTGGAATGGTGCAATGCTTTGTAAAAGTGCCCTGACTACTTGGCCTTCAGGTCGTTTTCCCCAAACATCTAGGAACCAATCATTAGTGCGAGCGCTTCCTTGAAGAAGCGTGAGCTATCCTGCGTCCAACTCTAGTAGCTTCCTATTGCTAGGAGCGAACTTGTTCCTTACTTACTTAAGTAGGTAGTCTCTAGTTGATTATGGAGGAATTGGAGTTTCCCTAAAACTAGGAACCAAATGAATAGTTCGTGAGCTATCCTGCGTCCTAGGTAGTAGCTACTTAAGCTACTAGCCACCTCTCCCTTACTTAATTAAGTAGGCGCCGATATAAAAAGTAGGGAGGGGGGGAGTGGGTAAAAGAAACAATACACGTTTTCATCCATTTCGCCTCGTTCCCGTGGAAGGCGTCGTCTTTGATGCCTCGACCGACGCATTGCCGACCGGCCTTCGGTCGGTCTCGTCATCTCTGTTTGGAAAATAACTGCAAAACACATATTGTTATACTTGAGAAGCTACTAATAGCTCCTGGCATCGCTACTAGGAGCAAGGACGCTACTAGGGGCTCCTGGCCGTACTACTAAGGAACAAGAAACTACTAGTAACAAGGGCATCGCTAGTAGTAGCGAACATTGCTCCTAGTAGTACGGCCACGAGCCCCGATCGTAGCGTCCGATCGCTCCTAGTAGCGATGCCAGGAGCCCCTAGTAGCTATTTTGGAGAACCGTTTGGATTTCGAGTTTGCATTTCTGAATATAGCTGAACTGAGAAGCAAAAAGTGCAAGCTGATTAAGAGCTTCAAACTTGTGCAAAAAAACGCCTGGAAGTGACAGCAAGTCTGTAAAGGCAAGATAGTGAAGAACACATGGTGACATTCAGTTTCGATCAATACGGAAACCACGTCCTGACGCAAGACTTTGACACAGTGCCTCCTGCATTGCGCAGACGCTTGGCCTTCCAGGTTGACAGTCACAATGGCTTCCGCCTTTTTCTTTCCTGTTTTCTTTTGACCTTGAGACCTTAGGTTGGAGGCCATAGCGTCATAGTGACTTGCACCTTTTTCTTTATTTTCTTTATTCCCCAAGCAGTTTACTGTTGGGGTTCTATCTTAGAAAAAAAGAGCTGGCCACACTCACTGGCCGCGCCCCTGAACTCTGTGGCTGGTCTCTGTGGCCCGGTTTACTGGAGAGGAGTGTGCCCGAACAAATAGCGATGTCGATGCCAACAAACATCATTGATGAAGCAGTTTGCTCTTGGGGGAGGGTAGGGCGTACCAAGAAATTGTTTTTTGACTAATATTGGTCCAAACGAATCGTTTTGAAGCTGTTTGGGTTCTATGCTGGTATAATTGTTTTCTTTTGACCTTGAGGCCTTAGGTTGGAGGCCATCGCTATTAGGTTGGAGGCCATTGCGTCATAATGACTTGCACTTTTTTCTTTATTGTTTTCTTTTGACCTTGAGACCTTAGGTTCAATCCATCGCTATTGGGTTGGAGGCCATTGCGTCATAATGACTTGCCCCTTGTTCTTTCCTGTTTTCTTTTGCCCTTGAGACCTTTGTGATTTTGCTTTCTTTGGTTCTTTTCCTGCCATGTGACGTCTGCTCTGATCAAGTCTTCAATATGACATCTCATGTGACATCCTCCAGTCCAATGTTGCCTGACTCGCAGTGTCATCCTGGTTCATCTGCAGCTCTGCCCAGGTGTCTCGCATCCGCCTCGCCTGTGCTGGAAGCTTTTAGATCAACCAGCACACATATTTTTTTTGCCTCAAATAATCTCTTATCAACCAATTTCACCAACTGTAAACACACCAAGAACTCTAAAAATATGTATTTTGTGTATGTATGTAGTATGTAGGTATGGCCATGGCCATGGGTGCTTCAGAGGCACCTCAGAGGCAAGGTGGCTGCTCCAATGCTCAGCTGCAGCCTGGAGTCGTTTAACAAAAAAAAAGGAGGGGGTTGTGGCTTTTTAAAGGCTTTGATTCCTTTCCCACAACAATATGTACCAGGTGCTGCGGGGATCTATACCTGCAAACTCACTCTTTGCAGTCTCGGCCAGGCCTGTGCTTTGAGCACCTGTGCTTCCGCCAGGTCGCGTTCCTGCGAAGAGCGCTGTGGCACATTGCAGTGACTACATTCTGACAACATAGATCATCTTCTTTTGAGTTACTAATAGCGATGGCCTTCAACCTAGTAGCGATGGTTCTGAAACGGAAACCACTGACTGCCTGGTGTCTTTTTCAACGTCTCCTTCTCCGCCTGCTGTAGCCGGCGCTCCAATTGCACCTGCAAAATCCCGGAGAACGAAACCAGTTGCCAACATGTGTATCGGGGGGCCATCTGCCACTGGCACAGCCACTGGTGAGCCAAGTTGGCCGAGTTTAGACACGCTTCAAAGCCAAGAACTTCTCATGGGCTTTTCTTTACAAACTACTGCTACTATTTGTACAAACAAGAATGCACTTGTCCAACCGGGATTTTCTGTGTGCCAGGCTTCTGGTGAGAGAGGTTGGCTACGAGCATCAGCCTTATGGCCAGGGGAGTTGAAGATCGAAGGAGCGATCGCAGCTTTGGAAGCTTCACCTTTTGAACTTTTTGTTGGACACATGTTGCACCAAGGAATGCCTGATGCCGCAAGTGATACCTATCTGGTGTTATTGTAAATTCTTAAACGAAGGCCTTAGGAAGACTTTAAGAAGAACACATACGCCTGGATCAAGAATTGGACCGATCACTTGCGAAGGCCAAGAAAATCTTGCAAAAACACATCTTCCAGGGCTGTTCGTTGGAGGCCACCGCTATTAGGTTGGAGGACTTCAGCTTTGAGGTTTCTTTCGTTTGTTTCACGCCTCAGGTGTCGCCTGTGATGAGGATGCCCCACCTGCCAGTCAGTGATCAAACTTTCTTTGGGCCACACCGGATCAGCAAACGGAATTGGCTTTGACCTCGCACCCTCAGGTCAGCAGTGCCAGCAGTTTTCTTGGTCAACTCTTCAGCCCAAGTGGAGTGCGAGAGTTGTAACTCAGAAAGAGTATGGAGAGAGTGGAAAGAATGTGGTCTTCAAGAGAAACTCTAACACTTTCCGTTCTATCCCATCCCGCCTTTCCATGTCCCAGGACTTGACCTGAAGAGGAGAGGAGCGACTTGACAGCCAGTCGGATTGTTCAGGTTTCTGGTAGCTCAAGGAAATGTAGGAAGTGCGCGGAAAAACACTCTTTTCCCCAAACAGTTTACTGTTGGGGTTCTCTCTTAGGAAAAAAATGGGCTGGCCACAGTGGCTGGCCGCCGTGTGTCCTCCTCTTGTCCTTCCCTTGTCCTCCTGGTGCTTGCTGTTGTCCTGCTGTTGTCCTCTGGCCGCTCTGGCCAACCCTGTGTCCCCCTGTTCTCTTGTCCTCTTGGTACTTGCAGTTGTCCTTCTTCGGGTCTTCTTCGGCCGCGGCTGCTAGCCTATCTCCGGTTGTACTCCTCCCATCATCGTCTTGCCTTTCTCTTGTCCTCTCTTCCTCTTATAGTCTTGTTCTCCTCTTGGCATGCTCCCCTCATGTGCTTGTCTGGTCACAGCTTGTCTTTCTTTTGTCCTCCTGGTGTGTTCATGTTGCCTTCCTTCCCTCATCCTTTTGTCCTTTGTTGTCCTCCTTATGTCCTCCTCTGGTCTTTCTGTTGTCCTGCTGCTGTCGTGCCGTTCGTTGCTTTCCGAGGCAGGCCCACGACAACAATGATTCTCGCCGACTAAGCTGTTTGGGGTCTATGCTGGTATAATTTCCTTCAGTCCTCCTTGATCTGTGAGCTGTCCATTGAGCGCTCGGCACGAAGCGGGGAGTGCTCACGCCATGTCCCTGGCAGCGGATATGGTGGAAGTCATTCTGGCTTAGGAGGGAGGGGCACTTTCAGAGAACTAATTATGGGACACATTGGCTGACATCATGAAGTCAACGGCGTGAGATACTGAAGGAAACACTTGGCTATTCCAAACCTGAGCCCAACCTGGTAGACTCTTGTTCTGTTCGTGTTCGGGCTCAATGAGCTTGAGCCAGCCAAAACGAATCCATCGGCGACCCTTGAGTTTGCCTCGACCACCCAGTCGGGCACCTGAAGCTGCAAAGTTTAACCAAAGAAGAGAGCTGTGGAAGGGAGTAACAGTATGTTTATTCAAAGTGTTCAAAATAAAAAAATCCAAGGAAAGTATATTTCTGTTTTCTTCTGTCACTTGAGGAGGCCGTACTTGACTGGTCACCTCTGTTGTACTTGCGGGATTGCTTTCTGGAGGTGTCACAAACATTGAATGTCTAAGCAGAACATTGTGCCACGACTTTACACGATTCCTGAGAACAATTGCTTCCTGCCCCTTAGTCTGCTGGTGTTCCTTTACCTTTGTTCCTCTTGTTCTTTCTTCTTTATTCGGAATCGGAACTTGTGGGCCCTTGGGCGCTTGCTCTCACTCGTTGAGGAAGTCGTCGACTTTGGACTCCACAAGGGCCTCTGACTGCACTTTGCAGTTCAGGAGGAACAGTGGAAAGAAGGATTACAAGAAGAATCACAGGAAAAGCACAATAGCAAAAGAATCGACACAAACAACAAAAGAACACATTAAGTTTCATCGCTTCTCGTTTCTGCTATACGCAAAAGAACAGCAAAGCAAAGGGAATAGGGCCGGCCGCAAAGTTTTTTCTCAGAATCGTTTTCTTTGATTTTGAAACACAAAACATGGATTTTGTTTAACTAAAAGTGATACACACATGAAATATCTGTTCCCCCAAACATGTTACATCTTGTGCAAGGAAGGCGATTTTCCGGAAACCCGAACACTGCAGTGCATGAGGCCTGAATGTCGAGATGTCTTACGGCTTCTCTTGATTTTTTGGCTTATTCTGTATTCTGTATTCTTTCTCTTTAGACCCATTAGAAACAAGTGCATCGCTACTAGGAACAAGTGCATCGCTTCTAGTAACAAGTGCCTTACTAGTAGTAACAAGAAGCTCTAGACCTTTTTCTCTCCAATTTTTAAAGAATCGGTCTACGTCTTTGGAGCGGCACTATTTCTCTGGCCAAACCTGTCGTTTGCTTTTGTGACCTTTGGACCTTTTCTGTGCTTTTTTCTTCTTTTTCCTGTTTCTAATGGCTTCTTGTTACTACTAGTAAGGCACTTGTTACTAGAAGCGATGCACTTGTTCCTAGTAGCTTATTGTTCATTTATTCAACAATTCGTTTCATTTTCTTTCATTTCATTTCGTCTTTTCTTCCTTCCTGCCTTTCTTTCTGTCTCGAGATTGTATTTACCATAGCCACAATACTATAGCGCTAGCATGACGTGCGATCGTGCTCGGTCTCAACTTCCCTGAGCAAGAACACCAACGAACACGTTACACGGTTGCACTTCATGGCACTTCATCAACACGTCTAGGTTCTCTGGCTGCACTCATGCAGGCTTTCGCAGGTATCCTCCTGGGCGCCACGCAAACGCATTGTTGGCAAGGAGCAGGACACAAACACCCACTGACAAGGACGCTGCTAGGGGCTCCTGGCATCGCTACTACTAACAAGGATGCTATTAGGAACAAAGGGCATCGCTACTAGTAGCAAGAACGCTACTAGTAGCTCCTGGCCAAAAATACAATTGAATCCAAAGATTCCCTAAGTTAAGGCTTTCTTGTTTGACACAGGCGACAAGTTCATTCTGGTTGAAGGTGGTTTCAGTTTTGGCAGTCTCCCAGACCTAAAGCCTGTTGCAAGAAGAGAGTGGCTTAATACGAGTAGCACGCTTGTCAGGCATTGCAGAAGCCCAAGCTTGAGTAGCGTTTTGGGAACGTGAAGACCCAAAACTGAGTGGACGCATCCTGGAAAGTAGCGGGTGCATTCTAAGGGCCTTATAGCAAGGGGCAAGCGCTGGCACAAACATCAAGCCGTTCCATTTCGTACTTGATGCATCTGCCGATGCAACCACTTTTGCGTTACAAAAAAGGTCACCCATTCGGAAACAGGTCGCCATGTGGCTTGGATTGGATAGCTGTACAGTAATTGTCCACTCCGAGATCTTCTGGGTTCCGGTACTGAATTTTGCCGCGACCAGCGAGACCTTTCTTGGTGCAATGCTGGCTGGAATGACGCTCAACATGTTGACATCAATCCTCCCACTGCTTCTACTCATAACGAGCAGGTGTGACATGTTCATGGACAAGTTGGTGGCTCGTGTCATGAGTCTTCCGTCTTTACAAGCATGCTACTATGCTTTCTGTATGGACATGACTCCTTCCTAACAACACATATTATCTAGTTTGTTCTCCCTTTCACTCCCGGGCAACTTCTGCAACTAAGTCGAATGCCTTCTCAAGCGAGAAAACAGCCCCCTTCCCTGTACAATCGGCCCATCTCTGAGCTTCGAACGCATCTAGCTTCCCAGGTGCCTTCCGACCGCCCCAAGCACATTGACCCCGAAACCCATATCTTACAAAGTATAAGTTGTAATATAAGTTAAGTTTCCTTAAAGATCTAGAAACTAAATCATTTGTGCGCGAGCTGTCCTGTGTCCGTACTAGTAGCTACTTAAGCTACTAGCTACCTCTAGCTACTTCTACGGCTTACCCCTCGTCCCCGGTCTAAAAAGAAAGGAAGGTGTTTTTTCTTTTGCTCTGCCACTGTGATCCATGCCTTCGCACTTGAAGCCGCGATCTTTGGCATCTGCGGACGAAGAAATTCAAGCGAAGTCTTGACAGGTCAGACCAGGTCACATGATCGAACATGTTTTTCCTGTCTAGTAGTAACAAGGTTCGCTACTAGGAACAAGTGCCACGCTAGTAGTAACAGGTGCCTTACTAGTAGTAACAAGAAGCTATTAATTTAAACTTAATTTATATCTGTCTCGAGATGTCAGTTGAAAACTGTCCACTATTGATCTCTGACAACCCTTCAGGAACATATCATGGCCCATGGCATGGTCTTGTTGTTCACTGTTACGCATTCTAAGTACTGGACTTCTGAAGACTTTGAATGATTTGTAGACAGAAGGATCTGGGGAACAAGCATAGTATTCATAGTATTCATGGATGTTCCAAACATTGCTGTGAAGTATCTTTCCAAGTTCATTTTGATTCATGATCGCTATTCGGTTGGAGGCCGCTAGTAGGTTGGAGCCCATTGTCCTCGGGTTTTCACTTCTCGTCTCCGGCCTTAGCTGAGTCTCCTTCCACTTTCCGCAGGCGGGAGGAGAGCTTGGCCACCAGCTGGCGGAGCGGTGTTGGAGAAAGCTTCAGAAAGAAGATAGGTCTCATTACATATAAAAGCTACTAGGAACAAGTGCATCGCTACTAGTAACTAGCGATGGCCTCCAACCTAATAGCAGAAAACACACCAAAACCATGTCATTTTACTTCTTGGCCGTAGAGCTGTACCAAAATAACCCACCGCCTCAAGCACGTGAACACACGAACACACGTGGAAGGAAGCAAAGAACAACTCCCAAATCCCCAAAAAGAATAAAGGAAGAAAGAATGCTCTAAAGTCTAAAGGAATGGAAAAAAAGACAAACACACAAACAACAAAGGAAGACTCTTGCACCCAACATGGAAATGACCCGCTCCCTCCCGTGCACCTCAGGATCCATTGCTTCTCCAAAGACCTGCCGAAAGGTCTTTTCGTCTATGAACAGTTCGCTTCGGAGTCAATTCATCGTACGTAGTATGGGATCCCTAAGATCTGCATGGAACAATACCCTGCCTTGCCTCGCGTTTTGGTGGCCTTGACGCACAGCGACTCTATTTTCCTTCATTTGCCGCTACCACCATGAGTCAGGATGCTCCGAATCGATGCACTTTGTAGGACTCCATGCTGTACGACTTTGTACGACAGAGCATTCTCTTCACCACAGAGTCCCTGGATTGTAACCGGCATCACTTGAGGTTGAATGCCTTGTAATGCCTTGTGCCGCCTTCTTGTTCTTCTCGCCCATCGATCTCTACTTTGCTGACAGAACTGACTCCAAAAAATCTGGCCGATGTCCGTTGCCTTTGGCCAGAAGCCAGAAGCTCCGAACCTCTTGCAGAAAGCAATCTGCGAAAGCCTGAGAGCTCAGGCCAAACCGAAGCACGTTGAAGTCCAAGTCCGGTTTTGGGCTGCCTGACGCTGGCTTGTCGCTTTGGACCTGTCTGGAGGGCGTCAAAGCTCGGATTGCCGCGGTCCGGAAGGCTTGCGAGAAAAAGGCATCAGGAAGTACTGCAAGGTCCGGAAGGTTGGCTTCCTGAAGACAAACCGCCGGCAGTTGGCACTGGATCGAAGATTGGGAGAGTCTTGTGAGCGTTTCGGGCAGCAACAAGTTCAGCACAGGACAAAAAATGAAGGAAGTCTGAAAGGAGTACTCGGTTGCAAACATGTTTTCAATCTAATGTGGAGCTAGCACGAAGATCTTTGTACATCATGTGCATGGATAAGTATCTGCTGAGACTCTGCTTTGTGTTGAGAGGCAAAAGCGCGAAGGTGGCATTGTGCGGGAAATTTTCCTGCAGCGACAGATTGCTCTCTGATCGAGTCAACTGAAGTGAACAAGGCGTGGCGTCTTCTTAGAGCACCAGCGTATTTCTGTCACAGCATGAACATAATCTATCACTCGATTCCAAACCACGCAAATAAGAAAAGACTTCACGCATTCTTTTTTTCCAACATTGAAACATCATATTGATTTCAGCGGGGATCGCTACTAGGAGCAAGAAGCTACTAGGGGCTCCTGGCATCGCTACTAGGAGCAGGGATCTACTGAATTACTAGCTTCTTGTTACTACTAGTATGGCACTTGTTACTACTAGCGTGGCACTTGTCTCTAATAGCTTTTTTGTTACTAATACCTAAACTCTTACTCCACGTTTGCGAGGCTCGCAGATGACATGTCGTCACGTCGTCACGTCGTCACGTGTTGGTCTCACGTAGCGCTGCCGCTGAACTTCTCCTTGAACTTTTCGGACTCGAGTTCATCAGCTTCACGTTTGAATGCCAGGAGGATCCTGGCTTGAACGCTGCATGAAAACACAAGCCTGTAATGCTTATTCGTCAGGAATTCAAGGAGGACACTGAGGGGACACTGCCATGTTTCATGTGATCCTCTTATCATCTAAACCAAGCCGCGGAAAGTTGGCATCCTCGCCTTGGCGAGCACAGAAGGCTTGGAACTTTTCCAACTATCAATTGCAGTCATCGGAATAAATTGAACTCCTCCAAATGCAACCTCGCATTTTTGCCGGGGATAAGGGATACTTGAGGCCGAGGGTAGGTGACGAAAGCTAGCAGGGGTGCATCCGG